ATTATAATAGTAAAACCAAAAATTAGAACATAAAAAAAAAACTAATAATTGAGAAGAATATAAACCCAAGTAGAAACTCAATAGTAAAAGTTATCATGCCTGCATGGGCTAACATAATACATCACGGATATGGGGTTTAGTTTTAGCCCCTTGCGTTTCACAAAAATCTCCATGAAGATCAGTCTCAAAGCCTCTCCAACTACGCCTCCCATTTGGTAAACGACACCTATCCAGTTGATTTCTATCTCCCCATAAGAAGCCACGAGCACCCCAAAACTGATTACTGACATTATGAGAAGCATACTGCCACTCATCACTTCAAGTCCAGCTAATACACCGAGTATGAACACGGCAACGGGCACTGCAAATGTCGCCAAAAGTAAAAATAATTCTAAATTAAGTTTGTAATCTCCGACTGTTTGCAATTATAATTCACATACTGCGCCCCCAACCAAAGAAAGTGCCTAGTTTTAGAAACTTATTGGATTTTCTTTAAAACAACGTACTGATTGCTTTCAACATCTGAGCAAATGCAACCGATATGTAGAGGTAAGCAGTGTTCCCAAGCCAAAGTGTCATAGCAAACATTGCACCAATCGGGATGACAGAAGTAATATATCTGCATATCCAGTGCCCAGCTTGTTCAGTGATATGACATCACAAGATAATGGCACAAAACAACAATTAGTGTAGCCAAGCGGGCATAACAATAACATATCCAAGCTGGCATCCCGCATCTTCTCTTCCTTTGGCTCTCTTGTTGATCAGTGGTTTAGTGTAATTTCTTTTTTCGTAGGCTATGCTAATGAAACTTATATGAACAATCAATCAATTCCAGGAGAGACGGGAGCTAATGGTGAGCTAATTCCATTTAAGAAAATATCGGTCATGCATCAAGGACAAGAATACTCACATATCCATAGTCATTCCTTGATCAACTTTCATAATCTGGAAAACGATATAATGAATGTGAATGCTCCACAATAAGCAATATCCAAGTATTGGAACTTCAATCATGATTTAGTTACCTTGAAAACTTTGGTAAGCATAAAACACAGAACAGAGGAGAAGACCATGTGGAGCAGGGTCAGTCCAAGAGGGTAAGGAAAATTCATTTCCTTTGATGATAAAACCCACTGCATTTAAAGAAGCTTTTATGAACTCGATCAGCTATGTATGAATGGTTAGTCCACTGTCCTAAGGAATACAGCCCAAAAGACTATCCTGCTAAAGCAAACATAACAGAGCGACAGCAGAACTCTTAATCCGACTAGCTATAGTCATGTGAGGATCCATGTTAGAATAGAGATCAATGGTTCACTGAAGCATGGACAAGGATTTCAATTTGCACCTAAAAATATATAATGAATAATAGACAGGGAATAGAACGAGACTGCCACTTGCAAGAACTTCAAAACTTAACATAGATGAAAATCTGCAAAAAATTCATCCCTCAGTTTGAAGCAATTTGGTAGTACTTAACAGAATGTCCTAATTCGCTATAAACAAAACCAAACAATGTTGAAAATCTTCAAGGGGTTTTAAACCATCAGAAAGAATATCTGCCTCTTCCTTCAAAGTACTATGAAATGATGCAATCAATACTATATGAATTGTAACATTTTAATTATTATGTGTCAATACCTATATTTTCGTAAGTGTTCCATCTATTACATTCATAACCTACATGTTTGCATAATTGATATTACTTTAAGAATATAATCATGTGCTTACTTTTCACGAAATAAATAAAATATTTACAGTTACTAATTTACATAATAACATAAAGATTCGATACGACGGAATCAACTAATGATAGAAGTTAAAACTATTTCTTCATAACAGGCATAAGAATTACATCTAAATCATATGATAACTAAACCAAACACATTACCATTTTTGCCATAAACAACCTCGAAATACATATTTTTACACACTTCTACACCACCACATAATGACTCCATTACTGGCTCACGTTTCAAAAACTAGCATTGACCTCAGATGTCATGGAAACATGAGCCCATGAGTTAATTCCAAGTTTCCAACACCCGGCAAATCACCTTGTGCTTTTCTACTCTCTTTACATTTAAAAAAACAAAACGAAACACAAACACGAAAATCCTATAAAAGGGCAGCTAGCAGAAAGTATAAATGACAAGAGCGACAAAGAATCCAAATATAGGTCCCTAATCTCAATAAATACCAAATATCAATCGTTGTTCCATCAAATCGTTACAGACACATACCTGCCATTCATTCTATTTCCACACTGTCCCCTACAACCTAAACCTAGTTAAGCAACAGGCAAACTCCATCCCAAGAATGTAACTGTGTAACAAGCTCTCCTAGCAATATGCAACAATCCACCATAAACATTAGTAAGCCAACACTTCAAGCTATGACTGTTGTAACATCTAGTTTAATCCATTGTGTACATAACCACATTTCTACCAGATCATATTCAACAATCGATCACCAAAACACACACTAAAACGGAAAAACGAAACGAGTAAGTGGAGTAACAGTTAGACCTTGTTGAAGAAGATCTGACCGCTAGATAGCGCGATGTACAGGAGAATGTAGCTGTACGTTACAAACTCTTCGGTCGCCCGTTTTCTGTTATGATCCGCCATTGATGAGCCAGTGGTGAGAGCTCAGTAGCTGAAGGTTGGGACAACTGTGTTTTGTTGGAGCTACTACTGACAAAACGGGTCGTGGTCACCGGCAAGGGCAAGGGCAAGGGGCCCACGAACAAGCGGTTTCTTGGTCCGTGCAAACTTGGGCCATTTTGATGACCTGTTTGGGCCTTAGACCAACGTGGCCCAATACTTCGGTTTGTTAGACCTTACCAGTTAGGATTAGGGTATGTTTGGTAAATCTAATAGTAGGGGAAGGGCCAGGGCCTAGGGGAAGGGCCAGTGGGCCACGAACCACTCTGGTCCTTGAAAACTTGACCATTTCGATGACCCGTCTGGGCCTTATACCAATGTGGGTCAGTGTTGTTTGGTTTGTTTGACACTTCTAGCTAGGACAACCAACATTATATAGGCCTCGTTTACTTAACTTGATGAGATAAGACAATTTTATCCCATCAAGTTTACACATCACCATTGATATTATGTTTACAAAACATGATAAGTATTATCCCCAAACCAATCAAGCATTTACTAAACTATGCTACAATAACCTGATTTCAGTAAAAAGACAAACTTGCCCTCTTTTGTTTACACGCCCATCGCACTTTCGTCTTCATTCCATTCTTCTCACGTTTCCGTTTCAGATAGTGAGGACGTGGGCGAATGTCGTCGTCATTACATAATGATACGTTTGGCAAATCTATTTGAAAAAAACTAGCCGGTAATTCCTTAGATATTTGATGGCTCATAACTTAATTTCAAGATTATAGTTGATTGTTAATGGCCAATGGCAGGAAAAAAAAATAGTTGATGTAATAAAATTGTGTGCTAAAATTAGTCGATAAATCAATTGAAATAAAAATTTCAACGGATTTTCATAAAAGTTATCTAATTAAATTTATGAGATAAATTTGAATCTTTCTACAATAAATATGTCCTATCAAACTAAATTTATTTAAATAAAATAAGTGTATAAGCTATGCTTACCAAATGTAGCCTCATGGAGATGTAATCATTCCAAATTTTTAGAAACTATATGAAATTTAAAGAATTCATATATTTTTATTTGGACCTTTTAAAACCTCTAAATGTTTTGAGGTAATCATATGAGATTTTCAGAAAATTATAAAATATGCAGTTATTTGTCACTTAGATTTGTCTGTACGTTTTAAGATTCACTAAAGATTTCAAAGACACAATAATAAAATATACATACGAAATCTTAATCCACACCTCCAGACATAAGAATTCCAGAAATTTAAGCTGAAAAGTCTTAAAAAGAGTTAGGATTTTAAAAAGTTTTAAAATATTACCCGAGTTTTAAAACATTGTCCGGCTTGAGCATCAAAGTGTCCACAAGTTAGTTATAAAGCAGTCAAACGAAGCTCGAGCTTATGATACTTGAGCCCAGGCTCGAGCCAAAAACCCTTCCAGGCCAAATTATGTTAGAAGTTTGTAAGAAAACATATACAATTATTATTTATCAAGTCTAACAAGTATGAACGAGTCAAACTCAGTTCCACTTGTTGACTAAACGTGCTCAACTCGGCTCATTTATCAAATAAGTTGAGCTTACAAGCAGCTCGTTAATTGTACTACAGTCATTTCAAGTAAAAAAAGAAAAAAACATTATAGTCATTGATCCCTCCATATATAAATGCAAAGTTCTCGGAGCATATTTGTCAAGTTTTAGTGCTTCGTAATTATATGTGTCAAAATTTGGTGTTTCGTAATTACACATGTAAATTTGTTATGCTTCGAAGTTGTCCATGTATATCTAGACTTCCACCCATACTTATTAGGACTTTTAAAATTATAAAACACACGACTAACTTAAATTATAAATATATTTTAAAAGTTAGCAACTTTTGTATTTGTTATTAGTGTTTTATATATGATGCATAAAATTAATTATCTATTGACAAGCTTAGATTTGATATTCATATTGCATATATAAAACAAAATAATAATTTTATTTGTCTTTATTATAAAAATTAAATTATCTATAAGTAATTGAGTATTAATATACTTATATATCAATTATCAGTTAAAAAAATATATATTTATAAAATCGTGAGATATGAACTAGAAAAATTATAGTAATATAAGAACGGTAAACTGTACAAGTGAAGAGTAATATTTTAAATATAAATAACGGTAATGAAATATTTGTTAAAACTATTTAAAATTTAAATAAAAATCTTATCTTTTATATTTTTTTAGAGTTTAAGTTTAATTAATATTTGTATAATTCACGGTGTTACGGTGTACGAGTCACAAATATATATTTTTTAACATAACAATAGAGCTCACTATTAAAATTTATAATTTATTTTACCAATCAAAGGTCAATTACTATTTAATTATTCTCGTACTAGTTCAAGCCTAAATCCCATTAATCAACCAACTTTCTCTAATGTCAACCACACAAATCTATCTAATATATAATTAGGCATCACACTTTCAGAAAGTTTTATGTGAGTCCTACAACACTCTTATTATTTTTAGAAAATTCTCACATTTTTTAACACGTGTTCATATTTATATTAATATTAATTGTCTCACCTAATATTTATTTAGTTTACCAATAACTAAAAAACACACATTATTTAATGATTTGACACGTGTTCATCAGTTGTGACTCATTTTTTTAATACAAACAATTAAAAGTACGGGATGTTTGTACTTGACAGATATTTTTATAAAATTTTATTTTATTTTTTATGAAATATTTTAGTTAAAATTATTTATCTAATTTCATAATTCATACTTTACAAATTAAAATAATTATAAGTATTCGTATGCTTAGTTTTTTAAATTTTTTATCTTGAATTTTGTACATAAAAATTAAATCTAATAGTAGTGAAATTAGATATAAAATATTTTTAAAACATGCGCAATGAATAACACACAAACATTTTTCATAATAAATAAATAAATAACAACATGTTTTTAGAATATTTTTTATTTCATTTTCTACAATATACAAATTAAATCTAATAATAGTGAAATTAGATATAAAATACTTTAAAAACATGCGCGATGAATCACACAAACATTCTTCATAATAAATAAATAACATCACGTTTGTAGAATATTTTTTTGATTCATTTTCTACAAGTTAAAAAATCCAAAATATATGATCTTGATTAAATTAATCGATTAAACAAATAGTATTATATATATATATACATGCAAAGAGTATTTCGTAAATACTTTTGTATTTATTAGTAATATCGCGATAACATAAAAATATGACTTAAATGTTAAATGGTAGGTAGTTAATTTATTTATTTTATACTTATAAATTTATGTTTGTAAAATATTTTATTTTTTAATACGCAAATCAGTCAAACATACTTAACAACACTAAATAAAGTCCAAAATAAAATATGGTCATAAGATTTTTATTTTAAAAAAAATATTAACACTATGTCTAACATGTGGAAGTTAAAAATACACCCCAAACCATGAAAGTCAGTTTAGAAGTTACTACATGTTTGTAAGTTTTGTTAGACGTTAAAAATACATCCTAAAACCATAAAAGTCAGTTTGGAAGTTAAAGTCAGATAGAAGTTAACACGTGTGTAAGTTACATTATTGTCAGTTTGCAAGTTAAAATCATATAGAAGTTAAAAACACGTGTGTAAGTTACATTGTTGTGATGCAATATTATGAAAGACTGCTTACATTGTTAGTGGCTTGACACCTTGTGATGCAATATTATGAAAGACTGCTTGAGTTGATATTGAGGTGATTCGTTTAAATTTTTTTTTTTTTTATAAATTTCGTTATTATGCATATGCTATTTAATTTTGTTTCCTAATATTTGTGTTTTTAACGTTTTACAGGCCTCAATAAAAAAGATTCACATAGATTTGTTCAAACGTTTCATCACATAAGGTAGATTCATGGATATCCACACTTTATTGTAGCACTGGTGGCAGATATAAATTAAAATTTCCATAAGTTTATGTATAACTTCAAAAGTTTTACCAATTTGGCTAAAGGCTCTTTTGTAAGGACTCTTGATCCGTAATTATATCTTATGCATATAAAAAACAAAATATATATTTTAGTTATTGAGGATTAAATTATATGAATGTTATACATGAAGAACTCTGTACCAACTTTACGTTATTGTTTCACGAGTTACAAATGGGAAATGATTGAAAATATTAATTTGTGATGATAAAAATAACTTAGAACTTTACATTTTCAGAGTTACAAATGTGAAAGGATTGAAAATATTAATTTGTGATGATAAACTCAAAGACCAAAAACGTTGTTATGAATTTATATGAATTGCAAATGTTCTTTTAATTTTTTTATTTTTTTTTTGTAGCTTCCGTGCATTTGCACGGGCAACTGTATTAGTTTTATTTTAAAATGGATCAATTCACCCGCGAAAAGCTTCCTCCTCCTCCACTAGCCACCACCTACCCGTTCACAAGCACCAAGGAAAATCACAAGAAGCAGACAAAAAAAGTGAACTCACCATATCTAATTTCAACACACAAAATAAAATTCACCCNNGTCTTGAGCGTCTGTGTGTGTGGCTATGTCGGGTAATAATTTGAGGAATTTCGTGGGGTTTCTATGGCTGCTGGCGATAAAAGATCACGGGAGCACACACAGATGTGTGTGGAGGAGAGCAAATCAGCTGCCCCCATTACCCTAATCGGATAGGGTTTGTATTTCTCACCTCCCAATTGCCCATCCTCAAATATGTGCCTCTCTCTTCTCGAGCCCCCACCCCATTTGTCCTCTTCCTCTATCTCTTTATCTACAAGGAAAAAGTTCCGATTTTTATTGTGTCTTCTATTCAGAATTAAAGAAATTATCCCTTTTGTGTGTTTTGTTTTGTTTATTGTATTTATTGGTCGTATTTTTCTTGGTTCACTTCCTTTCAGTTTATCTACTGCTTGTAGAACGTTTCATCTCATTAGTCTTGAGCTTCCAGGTCTCTCTCTTTCTCTCTCTCTCTCTCTCTCTCTTTTGCACACACACACATACAGATCTTGATTTTGTTTTGTTTGAGTTGTGGGTTCTTGCTGAGTTGCTTTGTGAGGGTTGGTGTTTTGGTTGTTTTTGTGATCATGCTTTACTTTGGGGGGCACCGGTTGATGTAAGAAGATGATTCAAACATGAACCAGATGTCGGCTTTTGGATGGTTTGAAATTTTGGGGTGGTGAAATTGATGTAGTTAGTCGGCTTGTGTAGTGTTTCGTGAAGTTGGGTTTCTTTTTGTTGCTGAAGATCGTTAGATTATTCAATACATAGTGAAACGTGCCTTCGCACCATTTTAATCAATCAGATATTGATTTTCTTTGATGATGATCTGTCATATGCAAGATCAGTGGCCATATCTTAGGATCGTATGTAAAATCAGAAGTTGGTGGTGTTTGCTAATAGAATCTAACTGATGTAGTTAATCGACTTGTCTAGCATCTCTCGAAGATTTGTTTCAATATATCAACAAAATGACTTTGCATCAGTTACTCAAGCGGATGCTGATTTTTTGTAAATGAATTATGTGTCTTGGATTGTCTGTAAAATCAGAAGTTGGTGGTGTCTGCAAATAGAAAGTAGAAGCTGAAAATTGAAGTGGTTAGCTGTTAGAAGAAGTCTCGCGAATAAATTGTTAACGTGCCTATTTGTTTACCAAAGTCAACCAAGAAGTATGCCTAGAAATTTTAGAAGCACCCTCATGGGTTTTTATCTTTGATTAGAGTATGGATATTTGAAGCATAAGTTGGCACCTGAAAAGCTTATCATCACTTTTTCTTTTGTGAGTTTTGAGCCTTTAATTTATTTTTCTAATCCAATTTAAGTTATTTTACGGAATTAACTTGTCAGTTGTCATGTCATAAAAAAATAAAATAAAAGTGGAGTATTTATTATCTATCTGATCTGTATTACACCGTTATGTCTTGAATCTAGATTATTGGGAGGGACGTGAAAATCAAGAATAATAACAATGGCGGAGGTAACAAATGTGACCGAGTACCAGGCTATTGCCAAAGAGAAACTGCCAAAGATGGCATACGATTACTATGCATCTGGTGCGGAGGACCAATGGACTCTGGCAGAGAATCGAAATGCATTCTCGAGGATTTTGTAAGTTAAATTTGTTCCAGGCCCAGGGATGCTTGGATATAAAAATTTTGGTTTTGTTTGGATTTTTTTATTTGGTTTGGTCAATTTTAAAAAAGGTGGTATGTTTAGTTGTTAGAGGGTGTATTAAAATAATATTTAAAATAAATGATAAAAGTTGATTTGATGTAAAAGTCTGAGAAAGAAAATTTGAAGTGATAGTTAGTTAAAATTATGTGAGTGGATGAATAATGAATTAAAGTTGATATGATGTGTAAGATTGAATGATTGATATTAGTGTGGTTAGGTTAAAGTTGAGTTAAGAAAAGTGGTTGAGTTAAAAATGTTGGATTTTTTGGAGATGTTTTATATCCAAACAACTGGTTCCTGATGATATATTTGAACTAAACACAGGTTCAGGCCCCGAATTCTGATTGATGTCAGCAAGATTGACATGACTACATCTGTTTTGGGCTTCAAGATTTCAATGCCAATCATGATTGCCCCAACTGCCTTTCAGAAAATGGCTCATCCGGATGGTAAGCATTTTTTTCGGACATTTGAAGCAATTGCAATCCGTACGCAGTGTATCACTTTTTTCACTTACGGAATTAAATGAACGACTCTGAATTTTTGTTGTGAAGTCATACAATGGGAAGTCTGATATTTGCAGCTTAATGAGTTGGGCACGATTTATTACATTCAGAAGTTTATATTACGCACTAAGTATTATCTTTATGCAGGGGAATATGCAACTGCTAGAGCTGCTTCAGCAGCTAACACAATCATGGTTCGGTTTCTCCCTTATTCTATTTCAGCTTCACACATTTTTATAAAAAAAAAAAAATATTGAAATTTGATATATGTTCTTTAAGACAGTGATGATGATTTTCCAGTTCGGAAAATACTGAAAAATGTTCTTGTTATCGATCCTTTATTATACTTATTCCCAGTGAAGTTCATGATTTACTAATTTAATATCACAAAAAAAAAAAAATCCTTATATTCTCCTGATACTTCATGAATTTTATTTTCAGACATTGTCGTCATGGGCCACTTCCAGTGTCGAGGAAGTAGCTTCAACCGGACCCGGCATTCGATTCTTCCAGCTTTATGTAAGATTTTTGTCTAATGTTGTATGAGATTATAACAGTTATTAATTCTTATTATAATACTCTATTATAGGCCATCCACATTTTCTAACTGCCGTTTTTCTTTTGTTTTCTTTTATGTTTTTCTTATTTTCTTCGTGTTTGTTTGGGCTTCAGGTCTACAAGGATAGGAATGTCGTGGCTCAGCTCGTAAGGCGAGCTGAAAAGGCTGGTTTTAAGGCCATTGCACTTACTGTGGATACCCCTCGATTGGGACGTAGAGAAGCTGACATTAAGAACAGGTTCAAACTTCAGCATTTCGATTTTCAGACATTATAGTAAGTAGTGCTGCAAACTAGCCGAACCGAGTCGAGCAAGATTGATTTTTTATTTTTTTTATCTGCGATTTATGACGCTCGAGATCGACTCGACAAAAGAAGACAATCGCTCGAGCTCGGCTCGAGATCGATAGAAATCAAAATGCTCGAAAGATTGGTCGAGCTCGGCTCGAGGTCGACTCAATTTTCAAGGAAAATTATCATTAAGTACACATATAAAACTATTGTAATATTTATATATAAGGGGTATTTTAGTAATTCACTACATACGCGAGCGGCTCGACCTTCCAAAATTTATGCTCGAGCCGCGCTCACGAGCCGCTCGGTTCGTTTGCAGCCCTAATAGTAAGGTATATAAAGATCAACACGGTTGGAATCTGAAATGAGCTTTTGATACGGTGTTATGTAATGCAGGTTTACTTTGCCACCTGGTTTGACATTGAAGAATTTCGAGGGTTTGGATCTTGGGAAGATGGATGAAGTAAGCAATGAGTCTAAGAATTTGTAGAGCCTACAAACGAGATTAATAATAATAATTCATTTTTTTCTAACTCATATTCCGTGTTGTTAGGCTGCTGATTCTGGGTTAGCTTCATATGTTGCGGGTCAAATTGATCGCACTTTGAGCTGGCAGGTAAAATAAATTGGCTCTCCTAAAAAACATATGTTATGAACTTACGATTTATGAAGATCGTAAGTTTAAAATTCAGTTATAAGCTCAAAATTCACTTAAAAGCTATAAGCTAGCTTATCAGCTAGGTTTACCAAACATATCCTAATTTTACCACACTTTTACATATAAGCTAGTTTTTCAGCCATAAATCATAAGCTATCAACTATAAGCTCGAAATTCATTTAAAAACTATAAGCTATTTTATCAGCTAAGTTTACCAAACATAGCCATTTTCACACACAAACACAAACGCAAACACAAAACACATTCATTATGATCTTCACGTCTGAACTGTATTTTAACTGAATTTCAACGTCAACAGGATGTGAAGTGGCTACAAACAATTACTTCACTGCCTATTCTGGTCAAAGGTGTACTCACTGCTGAAGATGGTATGAACTCATAAAACCTGCTCGGCTTTTTTTTTTTTCAATAATTTTTNAAATAAATGCTCGTTTTAACTTCTTTTTTTTTTTTCGTCGCGAAATTCAGCAAGGATCTCCATTCAGAATGGAGCAGCGGGTATTATTGTGTCGAACCACGGTGCTCGCCAGCTGGATTACGTGCCTTCAACTATCCAGGCTCTTGAAGAGGTACTACTCAATTTTTGTATGTTAAAAGCTTATGAAAACTGTCTGGTTGATTTGATTTATCCTCTGATCGTTTGGTGCAATTTCAGGTCGTCAAAGCTGCACAAGGCCGAGTTCCCGTCTTCTTGGATGGTGGGGTCCGTCGCGGGACGGATGTTTTCAAGGCATTGGCACTCGGAGCCTCTGGCATTTTTGTAAGTCTTTTTTTTTTTTTTCCCCCAACAATTAATTTACCCTTTGACGCTTAGCTTAAATGCCAAAAAAAGAAGTTTATTTGTGGGAATAGGGTTTTAAACAAATAAAACATTTTCGATTCGATTCATGATTCGAATTCGTAAAAATTCTAATTTGAATTCGAATAAGAATAGTGTTTAGCATTTGAAATTTATTCAAATCTGAATCTGAATATACACTTATTCGATTCGAAATTATCGAATATTTTATTTGTTTAATAATAATTATATATAAGTTAATATATTATATACTACCATATAAGATCTTATTTATACAATATATATACATATATTAAGCATACATATATAACACAAAGAAAGATAATTATATTTAAAAAAGCATATTTGATTTATTTAAAAAATATGTTTATATTTAGATTTTGATATTATATTTAAAAAAATATATTTAGAAAAAAAATATAAATATATTTATAAATAATTTCTGAAAACGAATTTCGAATCGGATCAAATATATTCAATTATCTTAATCTAATCGAATACGAATCACAAATTAAATTTGATGACAAAACAAATAGCAATACGAATACGAATAGTCGAATATTTTTACGAATTCGAATCGAATCGAATATATTCGATTATCTTAATCAAATCGAATACGAATCACTAATTAAATTCGATAACGAATGGAATACGAATACGAATACGAATACGAATAGTCGACTATCTTAATCGAATCGAATACGAATCACAAATTAAATTCGATAACGAATCAAATACGAATACAAATAGTCGAATATTTTCACGAATTCGAATCGAATTGAATTCGATTATCTTAATCGAATCGAATACGAATCACAAATTAAATTCGAATACGAATACGAATAGTTGAATATTTTCACAAATTTGAATCGAATCGAGTATATATTCGATTTTCTTAATCGAATCGAATACGAATCACAAATTAAATCCGATAACGAATCGAATACGAATACGAATACGAATAGTCAAATATTTTCACAAATTCGAATCGAATCGAATATATTCGATTATCGTAATCGAATCGAATACGAATCACAAATTAAATTCGATAACGAATACGAATATGAATACGAATAGTCGAATATTTTCACGAATTCGAATCGAATCGAATATATTAGATTATCTTAATCGAATCGAATATGAATCACAAATAAAATTTGCTAACAAATCGAATACGGATATGAATACAAATAGTCGAATATTTTCACGAATTCGGATCGAATCGAATATATTCGATTATCTTAATCGAATCGAATACGAATCACAAATTAAATTCGCTAACGAATCGAATACGAATACGAATAGGAATGGTCGAATAGTTTCACGAATTTGAATCGAATAGTTAGAGTATTCGCTTCGCTTCGATTCGGTTCATTTAGAACCCTACTGTGGAAGATACGTAGAGCCGTTTGTAAATATGTTAAATTGAAAGAGTAATTACTAATTACAACAATCATCCCGAAAAGTAAATTCTGAAAACTTAAAGTCAGCACAAACTGTTTGCTATACTGTGCACTCCAATTCAAACTCGAAGGCAACAGTCGAAACTTAAAGATTATATGACGTCAGTTTTTACGCCCGTCTGACATTTTAGACGAAATGCATGATCTTTTGCCATCAGATTGGGCGACCTGTCGTATTCTCATTGGCTGCTGATGGAGAAGCCGGCGTGAAGAAAGTGCTTCAGATGTTGAAAGATGAGTTTGAGCTGACAATGGCATTAAGTGGCTGCCGTTCGTTGAGTGAGATAACTCGAGACCACATCGTAACCGAGTGGGATGCTCCACGGGCCCTACCTGCTGCCAGGCTGTAAGTTGCCGAGAGCCTCGAATAACCAGATTCGGTTGGATTCGGATCCGGATTTGGGTTTTTATTTTGTTATATTGAAATGGTTCTGGAATATGTAATTGAAAATGAAAAAAGGGCTTTTGAATGGTGATGGACAAAGTATATGTTTTTGCTAATTCTGGAAAAAATTTACCTTTGTTTTGTATATTATTGTTGATTCATGCATAATGGTTTTGTTTGTTTGTATATTATTTTTTTGTTCATGCACAATGGTTATAACCTGTAGCTTATTATCTTGAAAGCATAGATCATTGATGACGTGTGGGGGGGACGCAGGCCTAAAAAACACGAGGGGCACAATTTAATTTTTTTTATTTAAATAATAATAATAATAAATTTTTATCTTTTAATTTGATTTCTTTTTTAATAATGGGATGGTGGAGTTACGAAAACTTTAAATATTTAAATACATAATTGGTTTTCTGTTAGACACTACGTTATGTCGACCTACTGTTTACATATTTTTATTAGATAATGTCATATATATGCATTTTTGTTTGATAGTATGGAAAATCAATCAACGTAACTGTTAAACTGTCTCACATAAGAATTTATGTTAAATATAAACATGTTAACGTATTTAGTCAGAATGATTGATCTTCAACTATCATATATTTGAAATTATGATATATAACTCAAATTATATTCCTATCTATTTATAATAAAATTATGGTACATAAAAAAATAAATATCAAAAGGTAATTATGTGTATATATATACATAATATTTTTAAAAATTGTACAGGGGCATGTGCCCCTGCATGCCCCTATTTAAATCCGCCCTTGGCGTGTTCAAATCCGACTGAAGAATGTGTAAATTTATGCAGATTGCAGAGTGAACTAGGATATGAGACTCGTATTTTAATACTTTTTTTAACAAAATGTAGACTTATGGCAAAAATTTCATATTTTGTTTATATTATTTTTTAAGCATCTATTAATTATATTTGGAAATATGCATATTTATTGAAAAAAATGTAACTACCAAACGGTTGCAACTGCACAATTTATGAATTTCAATTTGTTTCAACTTGAGACCATTTTAGTGATTTCCTTGCTTAGCCATTAATCCAAAATATAAACAACAATGCTTACTGTTAGGCATTAAAATTATTCCAACAAATTTGCATATATGAAACACCGTGTTCTAAAAATAATATAAATAAAAATATAATGTTTTATAGTAACATTATGTATTTTAAATTACCTAAAAATTTCAAAATAGTATTTATCGAAAACTTATATTCCAAATTTATTTATCCAAAAATAGATTAAAAAAAACTGAGAAATTGAAATCTCCACACAATATACCTTTTTATGACATAAAATCTATAATGTGTTTGATCGATCTTTTCATTACTAAATCTATACTTATATAATAAGTCATCCTATTTACTAAATTTAGTGGAAAAAAAAGTCAAAGGACAATTAATGCATTCTATTTCTATCATTTTTCTAATTGTATTATTATTTTATTGCTACAAAACCGGTCTGCATTAATGCCATCCTTAATTGATGTGTTTTGCAATTAAATCGGACAAATAGACTCCAAGTAAAAACATGTCTCATTTCAAATTTAAGTTTAAATCTTAAAATTTCTTATTATTTTGTTACATTAAAATCATAAATGAATTGTTTGCCATAAAATCGGACAAAATAATAATTGCATAGAATTCAAGTAAAAACATGTCTCATTTAAAATTTAAATTTTAAAATTCCTTATCATTTTGTTATATTTCCGAATGATTTGTTTCCCATAACATCAGACGAAATTAATAATTGCATAGAATTTATATCGAGGATGCTTAATAATTGCATAGAATTTCAAAGATGTTTATTTATTATAAAAAAAAATTAAATTCTAGAAAAATATTTGTGTATATTTTTTAAAATGTTTGTACAAAATATTTTACTTTAAATTTATTTACATAATTTAAATTAGTTACATTAATATATAATATTAACATACATTAAATATTTTAATTACATAAAACAAAAAGAAGAAGAAGACTACGTCTATAATTTGTATAAATGATAATAATGACATTATATTACAATAAATTTTATAATAAAATAATATGAGTATTATATGAGGAACAAGATTACGTAAAATTGTTATTTTTCTTATATCAAGGAATAAATATATATAATGAAATCAAATTTATATTATTATTAACATGTGAGCGAGATAATATATTAATTAATTTACGGGCTAGCGCTACCAGACTCAGGTTTAATGTCTCGACAAAAAAGATGATATTGATGAAGGAGGTAAAAAAATAGATAATCAAACTCTATTATTTTTTAGGCCTGAACTGACAAGCCCTATTGTCAACTCATTTAATATCTCCCGTGAATCGCACGAGCTACTTAACGGACAAGCTCTGTGAAAATTACTCATTTACTACTTATGTCCCGTGCATCGCACGAGCTATGTACTAGTTTGTTTTATATAACATCCTCATTAAGTGCAACTTTGCTCTACTAATAATCCTAGAGAGCTACCCAATTAACTAATATGATCCAACGGTCGTAAATGAGTCCCAAAATTAGATAAGCCCCACGCACCCACTGAAGCACTTTCCGGTCCGGCGCACGGCACACTTCGCCGGACAAGCGCTAGCTCCGACTAGAAGATCAGAGCTCTGTAGTGGTAAAGCCGGGTCGATGACACATCACGACAGGTTCCCGTGAAAGTCGCGAGCATCTTCTTTGATTAAATAATAGGAATATCCCTCGTCGCCGATCCGCCGCCGCCGCCGCCTCTAGAACCGACCGCCGCCGACCGTTCCTCCGACGTGGAACCGTAATTAGGACGGCGGGTCGTATTTTTTCCAAGCTCTCGGACTCGGATGTGTTGCTAGCCACGTAAAACCTTGTTTTATGTTAAAAAAAGTTCGCATCTTGATCTGATCTTGTCTTTATCTTGAATCTGTTATTTCAGTTGGCCCTTCATTTCTTAGCTGAATGTTTGTCGTTGGTGTGAGTAGTTAAGGTTAATAACATACTTTGGTGTTGGTGACTAAACTTGACAGTACATATAATTTCTGCTCATTTGAGCTGAGTTTGTGGTTGGTCGCATAGATGTTCACTTTGTGTGATGTCTTTTGACCTTACTTACAATCCTAAGCTCAGTATATCTGTTTGTCTTATTAAAGGCTGAAAATTGCTGCTTTTGGTATCCGATTTTGATGTGAGCGAAAAATTGAAGCCTTTGCTATTATGGTACTGTTCTCATTTTCAGTGACAAGTGTAGATTCACATTTGATTAGTGAATGAGTCTTCTGTGTGTGTGATTCTGAATATATATAGGATTTTTTCATAGGTGTCAGAGGGGCTTACTCAGCCTGACGTGAATACATTCCAATGAGATTGTGAAGTATCATTTCTTTGTTACTTCTAGTTTTTTGATTTGTAGTTTTCATGTGAAAATTCATAGAGTAAATCAGAACAGATTGAGGAACTAGGGGTTGCGTTTCTGACAATATCTATTAGCAAGTATCAATTTCACGTTAATACATGCCATCTTTACTTCGAGAGGCAAAAGTAGGTTGATCGATGCTCTTTGAATTGGTGTAGCCTAAAAGAAAATGAAGAAGAATGTTGTTAGATGCTCTAAAGTCTAAATACACATGAAAACTTTCCATCCTTTTTTCTGTTATCTTTCTTGGGAATGTGCTCATATAAGCATTTCAATTATACTCAGATCAGACTGTTAAGATTAAACATTTTATATCTGCATTTTCATCTTCTATGTCGATTTTCTTTAAATTATGCTATCATTTTACTTCAAATAGTTCTTTAGCTACCATGTTCATTATTCTAAAATCTAAATACGTACATGTCTTATCTCCCATGATGTAAATTATGCCTGGCTAGGTATCTAATTTAGTAAAAATGGAGCTTTGGATGATTAATGGGTTGGAATAGCTAGGTGAGGACTGACTTGAAAATTGTGTGCCAAAAAAAAAAAAAAATAATAAAAATAAAAATAAAAATTCTTAACAAACCTGAAGGCCAGAACTGGTTTGGGTCAAGTTGAATGGTGACATACTTCTATGTTGAGTTGCTTCATTATATGGCTCGGATATATCTTCATTTTCCAGATTATCAATAACAAGAATCAAATTAGATGGTGATTTTGCCTTTCAAAGTTTTTCAACGAGTCCCACACAATCATTTTTCTTATATGTATTTCCTGATCTTACATTTCGACATTCATAACATTTCATTTTTTGTTATGTCTCTTAATATATTTTATTCTTTTTAATTATTTATCTCCTACTCTGTTGTTCTCCCATTTGTACGTTGAGACTTTAGCCCCTCCAAATATATGGTTGAGCATTTTGGGATCCACAACTTCATTCGGTGGGCGCACATTGTCTAGTTAAGTTGTATTCGAGTATATCTTTAATTCAGACCTACTTTTCAATAAGAAGCCACCGTTTAACACAACTTTTTCGAGAATAATAAATTTAGAAGGTTTTGCTGGTTGCCATTGTCGCGGCTGTAAGATTTTAGGCTGATCCCTATTTACGGTAGTTTTTGATTCAGAAGATAAGCACATCTAGGTAACTTTGCAGAACTAAATTTGGTGTGATTTTTCAGCTTACTTAGGAATCATTTTGAGCATTCTCATTCTCGTTTTGCATATTGTTTAAAATCTTTTCATTAGTTTTGTGGATGGACAGGGACGGATCCAGAAATTAAGAGTAGACTGGGCTAGAATTTTAAAAACTAATTTTTACAAAAATCACATAATATATTTTCTTCAAATATTCATTGAAGTTGTGCTTGACGAGCTTCTAAAAAAAATTCATTATGCTCATTTTGCACCGTATTTGATGTGTTTTCACTAGTTTGACGTTGATCTCGTTTCTAAAGAACATTGGTTTTTCCTTTCTTGACCGAAGGTTGGTGCTCCATGTGAATTTCTAAAAATTCCACAGCACAAATAAATAGATTTTTCATATGACATAATCATTAGCAAAATGAAATGCCTACACATCATAAATTATATCCAACTATGATATAACAACCACACTAGAGGATAAGAGATTAAAAAAAAAAAAACACACACACACACACAAACACACAATTACTACTTCATACACAATCAACAAAACAAAAATTACAACCAAATGGTCCTAGCAATTACTATTAAAACCCTAAATAGCTCAACTAAAATGAGAACATAGATAAAAACAATTAGACAAAATAAAATAAATATCTAATAGGGGTTTAATGTCTTATGGAAATGATTGATCAACAATATATAATATTTTATTAGAGTGTTGTTAGTAGTTTTTGGACTTAATAGATAAATGAATTATTTTGTTTAGTTAGTAGGTTGGTTTATTGGACTGGGCTAAAAATACAATTTTTTTTGTTCAAACTATTAATTATAAGAAAAAATAAACAACAGGCCTGGGCTTCAGCCCAACTCAGACCTATACTAGATCCGTCCATGTGGATGGATTTTGTGCCAAATAAGCAATTGATTAATCACTTTTCTGATATTTTCAGTTTGACAATTAACTGAAAATCCATGTATGACTTTGTACATTAAGAAAACAAAAGTACTAAAGATCACTTTTATCCTTCTCATGTGCAAAAACT